AATATTTTTCGTAGCATAAGGCGTACCCTCGATCGATACCTGGTGTAACTTGGGTGCGAGCTGGAAGGCTTCAATTACAGACAAGGAATTCCTCGGAATCTTGTGAGGTAAATCGAGCCTGAGAGTCAAACATTCTAGTAGCGCAAGTTTGCCGTTGACTCTCGGAGAAATTTCATGATATACGTTGTAAGGTAAATCCAAAACGGCTGTTTTCCAACGAGAACTAGCGTTCAAGAGAAGTTCCACGGCATTCAAAAGGTGATCTGAAGCACCTTGGACATCGGGACAGTGTATCTGAACATTCAAAGGAATTTCTTTGGACCTTTCGAGGAAGATCATGACCAGCAGATCCGCACGATTGAGCCTATTTCGAGTGTAATGCCAACACGACAAGTCAAGGTTGGCATGGATCCAGAACAGAGGACAGTGAGTGACAATCTCTCTCCAACTTCTGCATACTTGAGTGAGGACCCATGGACCGTCGTTTACTTCGAGAAGGTTGGCTTCATGAAAGTCAAGGAAAGAGAAAATCATGATGATCATCTCTGTAGGTAGGCGATTGAAGAATGAAGGTAGATGAAAGTCCAAAAGAGAAGGGAGGCAAGCAGTATTCCGGGCGGTGCTGAGAGTCCAGTCCAGCAGCTCTTCGTAAGGATGATCATCGAAAGTTAAGTACTCCTCCCCTACTTCTCTGAGTTTCGGAACGCTGCTCTGTGGAATCGGAGTTGCGTTTATGTCTAGCATTTCGATGTAGGAGCATGAAGTGTCCATTGCAGCTGCTATATAAAAAAAAGTCAGTAAGCTCCATTATCGTATTACAAACACTACGACTTACTTCAAAGCGGTCGTAGATGTGTTACTTACTATATTAATGCGGACGAAATTAGCTCCATGTCCAGAAATCTCTAGGAATTTTATACATGGATGAAGAGACGCTGGGACTTTCCACTAGGGTGATCGACGAAGGCCAAAGCTGGGGAAACCATGGTCAAAAATACTGAAAATATAATAATAAGATGACAATTGGAAGACAAGATTGTTATGATTACAATACTTTGACGCACGCATGCGGCCCAGCGCTTATTGAACTTTTGGTTTCCACCAGGGAGGGTCAAGGTCTTTTGTCAATTTATCGGCCAGTCTGAAGTGCTGGAACGTCAATGTGTAACTTTCTCAACGTCAGTGGAATTTACACCTTTTAAAATTTGTACTCTTGGATCCACTCGTCAAGTATTGCGTTCACAAAGTGGTACTGGCGACATGGCTATCAAGATAGAGTTGGAAATGACCTCAAGTCCGTATTCGTCTGTCACTAGTGCTGAGCTTCACATCCTCCCCCTATCGTTAAGGGGCTACTCGTTTACAATTGGGGCCACCGTGACCAGTGTTATTCGACGCCACACCTTCGTGTTCAAGTCAATGTAGCATTTCGAATGCATCGCGAACTTGAGCCGCTCTATCTTTCCTGAAAGCATGTACTATGCAATTTCCCTACTGAATGTCGTTTGAATGCCGTTTACTCCCCCCGTGTATCATGGAGGCTAGCGGTGCAGTGTAAATCTACTGTATACACTAGAAAGCTGACGTTCTGCTTCTAACTTCGTTGAGAAGATTCTAGCGATCTGATAAGTACATTCTTTGGAGATATGTCCCCTTGAAAGTTGACAAGAAACTCGGAAAAGTGGGGTGCTTCTGTGGACGCTCGTCAAATGCCCGTCAGCTGCGAGTGCAGAACTCAACTCATGTGCTCATCGTATAAATCTCTCTATCTGGTTTCGTATTGTCGTATGTTTTATGTGAGCCCATTGACATCGGATGCAAAGAAGCTCAAGTACGAGCAATTTCTCTAGAAGACCTGCAATGTCAGATAAGTAACACAAGAACATTCTAACTGTTTGCCTCTGTCGGAATTTCATCATCGCGCACTCCAATCTTAAAGGAGATTTCATAACCATTGGGCCACATTAGTCTACCCATATCTTGGATTTCGTATAAAAGAGAGACCATAGCATGTACAATGTCACTCAGAACTCGATATAACAGTTCATACTCTGTACGCTGGTTTTGTTTTGTGCTCCGAGCGTGCCCACTAAGTTTATTTCCAGGACAATGCCACCGCAATATCAGCATCCTCTACCCTCCAAGCAGACAGTCTTGACACGCTATGGTGGATGGATTCCAGCTGATCGCGCGGTTTATAAAGCATTTTTTGATGATCTCCTGCGTACGATCGACGTTGGGAAGGCTCATAACCCGGCAGTCCAAGTCTTTAAGGATGCTGTCGATGCCGATCCCGAACTGGTTGATTTGTTTGAGCAGACCTTTCTTCAAGTTTCTCCTCAAAGCAGGGTAATTCTATATCCCCTCTGCGTTTACCTCCTAAATACTCAACGCTGCATATATGTTAGATCAAAACCTTCAATGAACTGCTCCATTGCATGGATCAAATCATTGTCGCGGCGCCGAAATTTCAGGTCAACAGAGACGAGAACGGCGGCGAAATAATCGGCGGAGAGCCTGTTGGTGTCCCTTTGTACCTTCTGTTCGACCTCCTCAGTAACACGGGTGCGGGTTACGACCTCTTGCGCAAGGTGAAATTGAACACTGCTTTGAAGGACTTGCTGAACGTCTGGGGTGATTACCTCCGGAGTGCAAATTCCAATAATACACTGAATGAAAGTGACGAGGGCTGGTTTGGCAAGCTCGGATTAGCGAGTCTCGAAAAGAACCGCGGGATATTCAACGAGATTTACGAGTGTCCCGATTATGCTGCGCCCAACCGTGGTTTCGCTTCATGGGATGCTTTCTTCACTCGAAAGTTCAAACCTAACGCTCGCCCGATCCCAAAACCGGACCCTCCATTCGTTTTTATCTATAACGCTTGCGAGTCCACCGTTTATGGAAAACAGACAAACATCAAAGAACACGACCAGTTCTGGCTCAAGGGCCAGCCTTACTCCATCTACGACATACTGGGGCGCCGCGACGACGAAGTTGCCCGTTCCTTCATCGGTGGGACTGTCTATCAGGCATTCCTTTCTCCACAGGACTATCACCGTTGGCATTCCCCGGTGGATGGTACTATTCGCTCAGTACAAGTCATTCCAGGAACGTACTATGCCGCGCTACCCGACGATGGAGCTGGACAGTCTGATCCCGATTTCCAACCGGGTGACCCTCGGGGTGCTATTATCCGCTCCCAGTCCTGGCTCACCGTAGCCGCCACACGTGCCGTCATCTACATCGAGGCGGACAACAAGGACATTGGGCTTATCGTATTCGTTGGTGTTGGGATGGTAGAAGTGTCGACTTGTGATATCACTGTTAAGAAAGATGATAGGGTCTTCGTCGGTGACGAGATCGGGATGTTCCATTTTGGTGGCTCGTCCCATGCGCTCATATTTGGGCCAGACGTGAAGCTCAAGTTTTTCGACCATGTCCAAGTCAACAACCACCTCCATGTTAACACGCCCCTAGCTGGACTGGAAATCTAAAGGTGACCATATGTATCGTTACAGCTAGAAAAAGCAATGAATAAGTCAAATATTTTCCTCGAATTTTAACATCGATGTACAATACCTCAATAGTGTATATGTATATGACAAAAGTTTCGGACGCCTAAACGCGCTCGGCGCCTGTTCAATAAATCAACAATGATAAGCAGCATCCACCACCTTATCTGGGTTCCACCACCATGAAGGTCTTCTGGCTTTCTTTGATTTCCTTGTCTTTTACTGTAAACGGCCAATACTTCTCTGAAGGCTGGAAACCCGGCCAAGCTGTCACCAGCGAATCTTCAGCGCCATCACCCACAGGAGTACCATCAGGAACTGGACACAGTGATAATTCACAGAAAAGCCAGCAACTCAGCGTAGACGGAATTCTAAATTCTCCTTGGGTTTCATCGTTGTTCGCTAAAGCCGGCGTGAATATTTCCAGCATTGCTTCAACTGTTGGTCTATCATCCAAGGCCGCGTATCCATGGGATCCACGAATCCCATTAATTACAGACACGAACTTTGATGACATGATTGTTGATGAGGAACTCAAGCCGGAGGAGGAGAGGAACAGGACATGGTTAATTGTCGTGTACGACTGTCGTCTTTTTTTCGATGAATTTGACTGACTGAAGGCTCTCTCTGATTCGTCATCCTTTCTGAATTTCATATCCTTAGCTCAACAAGCGCAACCAACAAAGGAGGAGGAATATCTCAGTTCGTAGACAGGATTTTCGACGAGACCTACAACGAAACTTTAACGGCCGGGGACTTACCCGACTTGCGCTGGGGTCGTATTGATTATCTCAATGTCACGTATTTAACAACTAAGTGGGGTGTTTGGCAGTGCGTACTACATGCGACCTCGTCTGCCGTGACTTACAGTTCGCTTTGATCACAGAGCGCCGACGTTCGTTATTCTACAGAACCGTGGTCAGACGCTCCGATTCGTTAAGCCTCAGTGGCTGCGTCTTCATGAAGGCGCCCTGCGCACATTCCTCAATACCGGAATGTACAATGAACTCCCTCCTTGGGATAGCTCTTTCGCTCCGGGTGGTAGCAAGTTCGTACTTATCTTCGAGTCATTTTCCTCATCTCTGATTCAGCCATACATCTTCAGTGAATACATTCTTCATTACATGGCGCTAGTTTTGATGAAATTCTACAACGTCGTGATCAAGGTCCCCGGATGGATAATGTACATTGCGTCCGGAAGTTTGGCTTCATTTATCATTCATCTGCTACATCGACCAACGAAGAAAGATGAAGTAAAGGGCCAAGCGGCATTAAATAACACTCATAACGCAGTAGCAGCACCTGTTGCGGATACTAGTGTCCCTTCAACTGCTGCTGCGTCAGGCTCAACAGCTACTGCGAGGCAGGTGAAGCACCGGAAGTCAAAGAAATAGATAGCGACTTTTGTTATAATTCGATTTTTGCCTTGAGAAGTTGATATGATTTTCGAATTGTTGTCGTATACAAAATGACATGGGAAATATTCAGGTCCCCGTCGATTAGTGGTTAGATCATCACGTTGTGGCTTGAGTAGCAGCAATCCGTGAAGACGCAGGCTCGACTCCTGCCAGGGACATATAGAATATCCTTTTTTGTTCATATTTTCCAGTTTTTTCACTTCGTCCATTATGTTACCATTCTTTCAACAAAAGGCTTAATGAGAATGGTTATAAGCGCGAGAGTGAGCTCTGTTTGTCAAAAGACTTGTCATTGGATTAAGTATGTATGAGCTCTAGGTTATATCCACAAATCTCACTAAACGTAAGGCCATGCCATATGGCCCATCGATTCCTCGCGGCTAGCACATCTCATGCTTCAACAAGAAAGGTTTACTCTATTTGTCGATTACGGCGCGACTGGGATGATAAACTGATTCCCTTCACATCGACGAGCAGCCTATATAGAATTTCTAAAGATTGGAAACGTTTCGTTCCACAACAATGAACGCAAGGACTTACAGTGGATAGTGGTAGGCACACCATTCCAATGTCTTTTTCGTCAACCAAGGCAATGTATTATTCATTCAGAGATTCGATAAATATACTACATAATTGGTCTAGAACTTATGTTCTAATGACTTTTCGATACGCGCCATACTGAAATCGAAATATCTTGGAAGGTACTTGTTGGATATCCCCTCCCTCGTGAGAGGATTTAGAGCGAAATGCTGCATCAGGCACATAGTCATTAAGGTGTATCTGATTGGGAGAAATAAATTATGTTAGTTTTGAATTTGAATTCGAGAGAATGTGCGTGACGCACAATAATGAGTTCCAAAGTATCTTTCAATCTATTCAGATATTTCTTGGAATTGTTTGCGGTTCTAGATCCTGTCAAAAACCTGAAAACCGCGTTTCGAGCACAGAAACGGGAAGTAAAAGAGAAAATTTCCTGCAGAATTCTGTTGGGACAATATGTGACTTTATGAATTTTCTGTAGGAGAAGAGAACTAACGAGCAAAGCGTCTCCCAATCACTCTCAAGCCGAGGATCCGATTTTCCGTGCGAAATCTCATCACTTATTTTCACTACAGTATACACCAATGTGCACACATTTTCGCAAAAGACCAAAGCCACGTGTTCCCTGTGTAGAGTTGCCTGAAATGATGATAAGCGGGCTGTTAAATATGAATGTGCCGAGTGGGGGAATGAGGAGAGGACTGATGAGATGGGTAAGTGGAAGAAAGTACTCTTCATTTCAAAAGGGGAACATGGTGGGACTTACACGGCCAATTTCCAGATTGTTCAGCGCCAGTGTTGCCGCTTTGTTTTGATAAGGCGAATGCCTCGTATCGACACTCATATCATTGAGGTTGGAGATAACATGCTGGTCTTGTCCTTCTTTCCAGCTCTCCATCGAAACCTGGAGAGCGATTACTTTGACCGGTGACCGAGGCACATTGAAGTAGGCAGTACAGATATCACCTTTTTCAGAGTCAGCGATACAGGGTCTCAGGATGTGATTATATCACATACCGCCTTCTGAGAATGTGAGATAATTTGAGAGACGACGGATGAACTCTTTGGTGGTTGGCACCTCTGTCTCATCCTAGAAACATTCTGTGTTTACATAGATCAATTACTTTTACTTGAAGCTGTAATCGTACCTCGTTTATGACCGCCGACAAATCCTCATCATGAGTCATGGCAATGTCGACTTGGGGAAACTAACAAAGAACATCGAAGTGAAGACCAATTTTTGAGAATCTGACAGCTCACCTGACGTAATATCCAATCGTTGATATCATCCGATGGATGGTACACCTACATGGAATGTTCAGTATCTTGGATATATAGCATAGGTAAGTGGAATACCCGAGCTCTGAAAGGATGAGAGTCACGATCTGACACGTCCTCATCGACGAGGTCAGAGGATGTTCCACCTCCGCGGTGTCCTAGCATGCGTGCCCACGAGCTGAAACTACGAACATTATTTTGACTCTGAAAGATGTCATTGACATCCGGATTCAGTTCAGCAAAGTTAGTCACTTTGACAGTTGTTGTGCGAATAACAGGTCGTTGGCGAATGGCTATCTTGAATCCTCGAGTAAAGATGCAACCTGAATGATTGCCAAATGTATCAGATCCACTCTGGACTTTAGCATAATCTCTTCTGGAAAAGCGGTATTTTGGCAGTTCTCCGGCAGTGGGCACAAAATGCATTATTACAGAGCCGACGGGGGCATCAAGAAAACATGCTACACCCCATGCACGGGTCTTGTCACAACCAGTGACTAGGTAGAGATTCTTTGTTCCACGGCTGTAAGGGGGACTATTCGCAAATTGGAACCATTTCCTTGCCCAGATTATCCCGTAATCACGAAATTCATCCAGGCTCTTATGATCGGTCGAAGAAGCACCTTCAGGTAAAATGAGCAAAGCACCTGTGGATCGTCGTGGAACAAACGACATTCCCGCTCCGACTTCGTCAGGTACTCCCCTGCAAAGAGATAAGCTAATGCTGACAATTGTCTCTTAGCATGTTTTAGAACTTACGGGATTTTAGCCTGACTCTGAGGAAGCAGCGTCACCTGAACATCATCCCAACAACTAGAAACATGAGAGCCTGGCGGATACATATCCTGCCACTGACTAATATGTCCTTGGTCGACAATCAGGGGTTCAAAGCCCTCTGGAAGTCCTGCGCTGTTTGCCGGATCATTGTGGGGTAGACATGCATTGAACAGGTAGTCGAAGCCACCTGTAGTAGTGAGAATTCCAACGTCCCCAATTCTTACGCCTTGCTTTTTGAACTCTACTGGGATAGGCTGGCTAGGTGCGGGAATCCACAATGGATAGCCTCTTTTCTCGAGCCACAGAAGCTGCGAATACAATTCGCTCTCAGTGGGGAACTTGGTTCTTGTTAACTGGTTCGAAGATGATGGTGAAGGAGCCGTATTAGATCCAGGAACTGGAAGTGATCCTGGTTGCGATGTGGATGCATTATAGTTGAAGATAGGCTGGTGTAATTGAAACGATGAGGCATTAGCGAACCATTGTGAAGTATTACTTGTGGAATAGAAGGATGTAAGAGGATAATCTATTCACTTGAAGTATATACGTACTGCTCACGGCCCACGACGTCTGTTGTCTCTGCCATCACAGGGAGTAGTAAGCTTCATCGAGATGCACGTTGCACGCGACCTACAATCAACCACGCTTGATTTATTTGGCTTTGGCTTTGGTTACAAACAAATGTCGCGTCGACCTCAAACATAAAGGCCGGTCGCGAAGTCGTCTTCAATCATGGTATAGGTAGATTTCTTTAATTATAAATTCAGACTTGAATGAACTTTGCATGAGCTGATCAGAACATTTAAAAAGTGCGAACCATAGACCAAAATATCGAGATGTCAAAGAAATCAGTAAATCGATTTGTGCATTTATCATATACTTTCCCCCTCCTTTCCTGTATCAATCCTCTTTGACATGTCCATTCATCGCGCAGCTTGTGCATTCCTTGTCATTCTTTGGACCTTTCCTTATCAGTTGGGCACTTGATTTCTTTTCCAGTTCATCAAATTTAGACGCGAGGTGGGCATGCAATTCAATATCGATTTGACGGTGCATGCGCCTCTACTTCCACAAACCAGAATCAGTATTGGATTCTTGAACTCAGACTTACAAGACGCACCTCCTGCGCCACCACAGGATCTTTGGTCATCAATTCTCGACAGTATATCATCTTCTCGCTCAATACCGTCCAAGAATGTGCTAGTCCTACATAGGTCAACCAGGGAGTGGAAAAAGTACAATTTGTGAAGCGTTATTAGATGAAGAGAGAGGGATAGAGTCCGTTCTGCGGGGAAGACCCAGGAGTGTCATGAGTAACGGCAGCTGTAAAGTGCCAAAGATGAGCACTGGTAACCTGTGAATTGCAATGGTACTCGAAGAATCATTGAAAATATGGAGAGATTCAAGTTGTTCCATGGTTGGACATTGACTGTTTACTGATATGTGTGTGTACATCCTCCAAAAACCTTCAAACTGAATTTCCCACCTCTTTCATCTTTTTACGGTAACTCTCGAACTTGTCATGACCCGGAAATCTTTTATCGCCTGACATCTGTTCGTGATGATACTGTACAATTACGACCGTATGACCGCGTAACGCGTAACGGCGACCCCTCGGTCATGCGAATTTTAGAAATCATAACGCGTAACACGGAGGTCTGGTCATGTCATAGAACGTAACGTAACAAAATAGAAACTAACAAGATTCAACAAAAAAAAAGTCATGCATCCACGCTGTCGACTCATTTCACAGCCTTCTTCTTTCTCGGTCGCTTCTTTCCTTCATCCTCAACATCCTCATCTCGAGTGTACTCCCAGTCCTTGCTATTAAGCTTGGATGAAGCAATGCGCTGGCGCTTACCTCGCCCCAGCTCTTTTGGCCCTTCCAACTGCTTTTCTTCGGCCAGTTCTTCATCCTGCACAGCGGGAATTTCTGCATCTGGATCCTCAACGTCTGCTACACGAGCCAGGGAGCCGTCCTCAAGCTCAAGAACACCCTCCCATGACTCCTTTCCTTCCGATATCACATGCTCCACTAGAGCTTCAATAGGAACGTCACAGGAATCGTCGAAATCACCAGTTGCCGTGAACATAGGCTCCTCTGTCTCCTCCTCCTCCTCCTCCTCCTCTGCCTTCTGTTTTGCCTTAGAGGATGAGGTCATCTTCTTCCGATGTTTAGTTACTGGGTCAGGAGCTGTGTCATCGCAAGTGAGTTTCTCATACAGCATTGGGTGGGTTGTTTTGAGTGTCGAAAGGGCCCTAAGAGTTGATGGTTTTGTTAGGGAATATTGGGAGAGGTCATACTCACCCGCCCGGCACAGCTGGAATGACTTGAGGATGTTTGTTAGTCTAGTGAAATATGAAAGGTATGTGTTTGTACCTTTTTGATCAGCTCCGGTTTGTTGATGTCGTGAAATGCCTTCACCAGCCAACCAAGTGCACGGTTACGAAGTGTTTTCACATCGGTTTTCAGATGAATTCCTTTTGACTTCGGATCCTGCAGCTGTCCCAGGACTTCAGCAACAATGTCAGCGTGCGCTGAGCGCTTTATTGACTGCTTCAA